GAGGCCTGGCCTTCCTTGAAAATTCACATTTATCCTGTGACACAAAAGGCGCTCGTGGCAGTGTAGCCGAGTGGTTAGCTTGTCAAGCTACCGTCCTGCACTGTCACGGTTCGAGTCTAGCTGAGGGTGTTGATAAGACCAATGCGAGATCGAAATTGCAGTCCACCCTGGATGAGAACAACTTTTGGGAATGCAGAGCTGTGTAAATATTCAATGGAAACGTCAGTCCAACTCATATCAGTTGTGGGAAAATTCTACTTCTACCAGTCCTTCATCACCTTAAACGAAATTGGGTGAATACATCTTATAACTGATTTACTGGTAGTCATGAAAAACAATACCTAATTCGAAAATAGATAGCCTAACTTTAATGACTTCATTGGAAGAATGGGCTCATGAATAAGGGAGGACATAAATAAAGTATAGTAGTCGATTTTTATAGCAAAACATACGTTTGCTTCATCGACAATTCTACAAAAAAAGTAATTTCGTAATTAATTAAAAATTGGAACAGGTTATAAATTATCTATTAAATTAATTATGCTGTAATAACTAGGTGGATGAAGAAAGTTTTCGGGGAAATTGTGTGAACAACTTTGCTATTTTTATTACTTGTTGGTAAGCGATTTTCAGAAGACGTTTATTGGTCGTATGATCACCTAATATTTTGGAGTTTGTCTCAAGCCATTATATTTAGATCCACTCACTTGCCAAGCTTGAGCATGTGAGAGTTATCTTAGATAAAGGCACCAGAACCACCTCAATATGGACCAAATGAGTTAGTTTTCAACATATCTGGTAATATTAAATTAGAAATTCATTTAAAGTTATGGAAGCTTAATAGTTAAATGTCAATGCGCTTTGTTTAGCTTTTCTCCCATTAGCCGTTCCCATCCTGGATGGACTACTGCTTAGCCCTCACCTAGACCTAATCAACATCCACAACAAGATTCACAACAGAATCGTATGCATTAAGTAGTAATATTGCCACTTCTTCACATAGCCCTGGGTTTAAAGTGTCACAGGTGTGGCATATAAGACAAGTCTGGCTTGTTCTAAAGTTGGGTGAGGCAAATTCGTATATTTTACTAAATTTTAAGTCTTTGAGATGATTAATTAATTTTTATTAGGTTGTCGAAGAGGCAAAAATATTTGGGCGTAATTGACACCACTAGCACTGCTGATTGTATGAGAAAGTTTTCTAAAAGACAAGGATACGGGAATTTGAGTGAACTCTTAAAGCTTTATACTAATTCATTGTGGTAAGCTAAAACTATCAGTACTTTTGTCACCTAAAGCGAACTAATCTGTCGAGTTCTTATAACAGGCCGTAGGCCTATTAAGTCGGTGGATGAGAGGGGTCTTCCATGACTGTAGTGTTAAATTCGACAAACAATGAA